TTATTTTTAGAATATTTCTAAAGGATTATCTATGCCTTGGTAGAAAAACTACCCTGGAGAATCGTAACTCTAAGACACAGAATGTAGAAGACGTTTTAGGGTATAGCATGGATTTCAATTTGCTTTATTGTTCTTGATATCTTCCTTTCCCTCATTCCATTATTAGTTTTGCAACATTTCCAGGAACGTATTCGACACTGAGTGCATTGTCAAAAAAAAAGAATTATGTGAATAATAGAAGTAGGAAGTGGATAGAGTATGTGGTTTGATCAATCTACTGTAAAAATAAATCACAAACTATATAACACTGACATTGCTTTCCACCTGCCTCTGTACTTTCTATTGTATTCTCAAATATTTTCACTCTATTTTCCAATTTCAAAGATATTAATGAGAATGACATTGATGCGATAAATCTAAGAAAAGAGGTAAAATGGTTGAGAATGGCGTCTAATATGAAAGTTACATAGTCTCACCATAATCATCCAACACCGACCAAAAGTAAGTTGAATCGCCTTAGTTTATATTTTGCTTTATAAAGTCTATTCATTTATGGGGAATGTACTATAATATTTTTAGTTTTTTCATTGACAAATAGTTACTTCCATGAGTGTCTCTTTTCTAGCCTTAATTGGCTCTGACTTCCTAACCATGAAAAAAAAAGGTTGACTTAAAGAGTGGCAAAAAAAGGATGCCCGTATAGCCGTTGCTCTCATATGAAGATATTTCGAAAGTAATAATGTTCTAAAGGAAAAAAGTCAAAAACAAATGATATCTAAAAAATGTTAACAATGAATTTTTGTAGGATATGGACGACCTAGACAATGCGCTTTTTGGCAGATCTACAGGACAAAAGACAAAACCATCTTTGGGAAATCTCGACTCACTTTTTGGAGAGACAAAAAAAGTATTTTTTTTTCGTTCATTCTAACCCACCGCGTAGTAGTTGGCATTATGTCCGGAAATTGTGTTTCAGCCAGCTGCAAAAAAATCAACGGTGTCTTTTCTTGATACACCAGCCGCTGCTCTCTCCTCCGCGCCACATGTGAGTTTAAGGATATGTTTGAGGTGTAAACTTTGACAAATGTGGAGGTTTGAACAATTCTCCTTCCAACATATATTACTTCCAATATTCTTTTTTTAAATCAAAGTACTTATAAGGCTTTTCTGTAGATTCTTCGTTTAATGACAGAGCAAAGACCTTCTACTTGTAAGTGTACTCTCTTTTAGACAGTTTTGCATTTTTGTTCCAAAGGATAGCTGAAATCTGGTAAAATAACAACTCGCTTTGCCGCATCGTACGAGAAAAGCTGTGTTTCAG